AAAAAAAAAAAAAAAAAAAACAATGAACAAAACAAAAAACAAAAGAGGAGGGAACACTTCCCAGCTCATTCTGTGAGGCCACAAACCATTTTGATTCCCAAACCAAAGACATCAGAGAAATGATCCTACCGTTATCTCTGCATTTAAACATAAATGTCTTCATCAAAATAGTAGCAGACCAACTCCAGCAGCATATTAAAAAGGACTATGCAGCATCACCAAGCGGGGTGTATCCCAGGAAGTGACTCTGGGTATGCAAATCCATCCATACAAATCACCACATTCAGAGAATGAAGGGAAAAAAAACCACACGGTCATCCCCACAGTGATGGACCACGACTGCAGAGCAGGTAAGAGGGGGAACACGGGCCTGGTGGGCTGGCTGTCAGGGAGACGAACAGGAAGAGGGATCCCTAGGAAGAGGGGGACCCGGGATGGCCTCCCGAGCAAACAGTCATCTCTTTCACTAATATCAGTAACGAGGGCAAGGGTGGTGGAAATCAGCACACGTGTGTGTTATAAAACACTGACACACAGAGTTCGAGAAGATCTGTTCTCTTATCATTTATTCATTATTTAGAAATGAAATGAAAAATTCAGATTCTTTTACCTCATTCACATTTCATTTTAGTGGAAAGAAAATCTTGATAAGCAAAGCTGAATAAAAACAGAATTAAGGGTTTGTAACAAGCTTTCTCAAAGTTCTCGACATGTTAATCCACGTGACTTCTCTCTGCCATATGAATTTTACAAAAGAGTTTATCCGTTCTTCTGAGCCTACAGATGTTCAACCCCAAAGACAGGGGTTCTGATTAAATCAGTTCCTGAGTAAAGTTGTGGTTCCATCTGTCCGTTAAGCTACACTCTTTGGAAAGCCAAAGCGTCTTTTTCTTTCTTAAAGTTTATTTTCTTTATGTTTGAGAGAGAGCGAGAGAATGGCAGAGACAGAGGCAGAGAGAGAATCCCAAGCAGGCCCCATGCTCAGCGCAGAGCCCAATGCAGGGCTCGAACCCACGACCCATGAGACCATGACCTGAGATGAAATCAAGAGTCAGGTGCTCAACTGACTGAGCCACGTGGGCTCCCCAAGCCAAGGCATCTTAACTGCTCAACAGGAAGGCAGCCGTGGAGGATGTGGAAGTCATCAGGGATCCTCCAGTGAGGTCTAGAAGGATGAGCCTTACTCACTTCCAGGCTGGGTGGCAGAGGGAGGCGTGGCTGAACTGTGAAGGCCTTAGCATTAGGCAGATTCTTTTTTCTTTTTTTTTTTTCCAGCTTTACTAAGGCATGATTGATAGCCAAAAATTGCATATACTTAGATTACACAATATGTTTTCTTCAAGGTGTACAAGATGATTTAATGTCCATAATACCCTGTGAAATGCTCACCACAATCAACGATAGTAACCATTTTTCTTCTTTTGATGAGAACACTTAAGATTACTCTGTCTGCAAACTTCAAGTATACAATACAATGTTGTTTGCTGCACCTTAGATCCCTGGGACTTATTCATCTCCAAGTTTGTGCCCTCTAGACTATCATCTCTCCATCCCCCCACTGCCCGAGAGCCACTTTTCTATTCTCTCATTCTATGAATTCAGCTCTTTTGGATTCCACATCTACGTTCGATCATACAGGATTTGTCTCTCTGGGTCTAGCTTATTTCACTTAGGATAGTGTCTTCCAGATTCGTCCATGTTGCAAATGGCAGGATCTTCTCCTTTTTTATGGCTGGATAATATTCCTCTGTGTGTGTGTGTGTGTGTGTGTGTGTGTGTGTGTGTGTGTGTGTGTGTGTGTGTGTGTGTGTGTGTGTGTGTGTGTGTCATTTCCTGTATCCATTCATCTGTTGACAGACACTTAGACTGTCCATTGTGAATAATGCTGCAATGAACACGGGAGTGTGGATATCTCTTCAAGATGCTTCATTTCTTTTGGATGCATTTCCAGAAGTGAGATTGCTGGATCGTATCCTAATTCTACCTTTACTTTTGTGAGGAACCCCCAAAGCGTTTTCCATAGTGGCTGCACCAATTTACATTCCCACCGACAGGACGCGACGGTTCCCTTTTCTCCCCATCCTTGCCAGCACCTGTTGTCTTCCTAAGGGCAGCCGTTCCAAGGGCCGTGAGGTGATACCTCACTGTGGCTTTAAGCTGCCCCTCCCGGATGCGTGGTGACATTGAGCATCTTTCCATGCACCTGTTGGTTGTCTGTATGCCTTCTTTGGGAAAATGTCTGTTCAGGTCTTTTGCCCGTTTTTAATCAAGCTCTTGGGTAGATTCTTCATGACAAACTGACTTCCCTCCCCCTCCTCGTCCCCAAAGCAAAGAGAATCAAACGTGCGCTATCGGCTGAGACGTGATCATGTGTGACTTCCCACCTCAGTCCTGCTTTCTTGAAGTGGAAAGAGCTCACGAGGCCAGTGATGGAGCTGAAACACCGTGAACACAGCACTACCGGCTGCCGGTGACGAGGACACAAATTCTCCTGCTCCTCCTCATTCGCCATCACCAGTTTCAGGTGCTGGGTTCTCTCGGTTTCATCTTCCGCCACTAACAGTGACTAGCAGAACTTCCCTTAACTTCTCAACAACTTATTCCTCTGAGCTCCCTGGGAACGGCCAGAGGGACTCATTAACCAAAACATTTTTTGTCTGGACTCTCTCCTTGTTAACGACGCCAGACAGATGATCAATAAGCCAGTCTATTTAGAAATGCCAGCCTGAATATTCCCAGGAAAGAGCAGTCGGTTATCAGTGTGGCTAATGAATCCTGTGATGGAACACTGATGGCCACAGAGGGCACTTCTGCACAGGCGACTGGCCGTTGTCCCTCATCGTATAAAAATAGTTTTGTGGGCTTTTTTTCCCCACTGTCGTTTGCAGCTACTCTTACTGGGCTACACATTGTCTTTGTCTGTGGGGACCTAATTACGGGGCCTAGATGGTTTCTCTAATCCATCCACCTGCCCCATCTGACGCCATTCAGTGGGAGATGTCTGGATGCTGCAGACAAGACGTATCTCACTTCACACACCGACTGTGAACCTGATGGAGTCCGTGCGAACCAAAGCTTTGCAATTTGGATCCTTGTTCCAGGGTTACACGCTCAGTCCAGAAACGCGGGGTCGCAGATTATATGTTCTTACACATTCATCACGTATGTTGTCACAGCTTCCCTTCATTGTCTCCCGTGCCAGGCGTCATCCAATCCTCAGCGCCCACCCGGTGACAGGCCTGTTCTCTTCATTTGTCAGGGGAGCACGGTGAGGCTCAGAGAAGCCATATCATCTGCCTCAGGTAATGCAACTGGTAGGTCCTAGAGCTGGCTGAGACCCCCACTCGTCCGACAACAAGCTCATGGTTCGTTTGTTTTTTTTTACGCTGTTGGACACTATCCCCGCCTTTCATTCACTCAATCATTCATTCGTTCCTTCATTCTTCCTTCCAAAGCCAGAGAAGCACCTGCAGAGGCCAGGTACAGTGAATTCAAAACCACAACCTTATTTTGAACAGACCTACAACTGGACAACTGTTAACTGTTGGGAGACGGGAACCTTCCGGGTTTCTATGCCCAGCAAACAGAAACCCAGCCTCGAAGGGCTGGCAGGCAAATCACAGCCATCGTCACCAGCAGGCACATCCGTGGCCGTGGCCCCTCACCCGGCACCCCGGGCCCCTTACCATCTCCGCTTTTGTGTGGGTTGGTGGGTTCAGGAGTGCTCAGAGGCCTGAGGGGAATGATGATCTCGTCCGCACTAACCCCTTCTCCTGTGTGCTTCTCAGAGACGTGGGAGAGGAGCTCCGACTGATTTGGTGAGAAAAGGTTACAGCACTTGCACATGAAGATGGCCGTGTTCTCTGTGGGGGGGGGGGGAGAAAAAGCAAACTGCGTTATTTCATCTGAACAAAAACAATGATTACTTCCAATCGCCAAAGGAAAATATTGAAGGCTGCCCTTTTGAGCAATGGCCAGCCTCCACCTGACTGTGTCCCTTTCGTGGATACCTCCACACCAGGCAGCTCACTTCTAACTTCAGGGGGCCCCAATTGCCAGAAAATTCTTTCTTCCGAAATTCAAAACCACTGCCCTGCCGGATAGCATCTGATACGGACTCCCCCGTTACCAAAGCCTACCAGACAGCCCAGATTCTGGCATCGACATGGCAACACGGAAGAACGAAACCCAGCCTTCAAATGAATGCGCCGCACTGACAGCAATGAAGTGCTCCAGCGAGGCTCTCTCCAGTTAGGTACCAGGAAAAAATTGATCAAAATAGCATTTCTCAAGAGCCAAGACACCTTGCACTGGCCGGCACGAGGACTGGAAACCAGAAGAATGGGAATCTGTTGATTTTTTTAAGCTACTTAATTCCTATTTGAAAGCAGTACCACCATTCACAAATATTTACTAATAGTCTATTAGAGTTCATCCCATTATACTAGGCAGGAAGACATAATGGGAAAACGCTCATTTTTAGTCGGATAAGATAACTGTAGGTACATATAGGAATATTAAATTTAGGATCAAAAAATAATTAGAAGCTGGAATTTTTTTTAACGACAAGAAGAACTGGTACAATGGAAAGGACAATGGCTTTGAAGCCGCAGGGACCCAGATTACATTCCCAGCCCTACCCGTGAGTGCTGTAAAGCTGGGCGATCTCCGAGGAGTGAGAACCCCTCGGTCGCTGGTACGAAACAGGACACGCAGCTCACGTGCCCACTCAGCGGTGGGAACACAGCAGGCACTCAGGAAACCACAGCACTCCACTGACCACGTGCCTGCGCCCACGTCACCCACACGGCTGGGCCGTCACCATCACTAGCCCCACGGGGCCTCTCCGTGCCGCCTGGCAGGCACACACACTCCAGGCCACATGCTCTCCGTGGAGGCTAGATGGATCTACAGCGATCCTAGGCGACCTCTAGGCCACCTGCTCTCCGTGGATGGTGAACAAATGTCTCAGACCCCTCCATTCCCACCGCCCATCCTCACGCGCGGCCGCTGACCTTGGTTCCTATTTCACGTGCAGCCACCAGAAGACGGCCTCCAAGGGCTTCCTCCGCCACACCTGCCCGCCCACCTGCACCTTCACCCACCCACCCACCTGCCTGACTCCTGCTGGTATGAAGGCTGGCACCAGCAGTGGCACGGAATGGGGGGGAGGGGGGGAAGGGGACCCATGGGAGTGGGCTACCCCAGTGCAGGCAATATCTTTACCACTGACACTGTTTAGAATTGGTGGATCAGGGAGATAGCAAAACAAAAAAGCAGACCAACACTTAAATGCTATGACGTCTGGGGCGCCTGGGTGGCTGGGTCGGTTAAGCATCCAACTTCGGCTCAGGTCATGATCTCAAAGTTCATGAGTTCAAGCCCCATGTCGGGCTCTGTGCTGACAGCTCAGAGCCTGGACCCTGCTTCAGATTCTCTCTCTCTCTCTCTCTCTCTCTCTCTCTCTGCCCCTTCCCTGCTTGCACTCTCTCTCAGAATAATTAAACTTTTTAAAAAATGTTGTCACTGCTTTAAAATTCTCCAAAGACAGTGCATCCTTACAGGTGCCTGCACCTGGTAAGAGGGTGCCACAGCCCACCCTGGAAGATCACTGGACAGAGGGGCAAGGCAACGGCCCCTCCCGCCCGGTGACCGAGTTCCAGTAACTTCTTTCTCCAGAACACCAATCCTTCCTCTCTGCCACTTGCCATATGCTTACTTCTCCCATCTTAACCCCAGACTCTCTCTTGCTCTCCACCCCCTTGCCCTCCCCCACCCCTTATTTTCCTCCTCCTTCTCCTCACAGCAAGATTCCCCTCCCAGAAGGAGGAGACAGGAAAGAAAGGCATTGAGCCTGCTGGCCACTGCCACAGTGAGGACGGAACCCCGCCAGGCACCGGAGCTGCACAAGTAACCCCCTCTGGATCCAAAGGAAGGGCTTCTCCACGAACGAGCAGGAGGGGTGGCGACCTAAGAGAACTGTCCCCGACCAAACAACACCAGAAACAGAAATGTAACAAAGCAGAACACTGCTTCTTCAATGGCACTCTTGTGAATAGTGTCAATCGATATTTTATTTTTTCCAAGAAATGCTTTATTCCTAAGGAACCCAAAATGCTTCCCATTCAAAGAGGAAGAGATTACAGTAACACTTCTTGTCTTTCTACGAGGCCACGTTGTTTTCAACACGCTTCCTGCTGACCCAACAGCGATCTCATGACTCAGGCAGAAAAGGGTTTGCAATCCCCCTCCCACTGGTGAGGAAACCGAGGCTGAGAGAGGACAAGCAGGCCGCCCGAGTCACGGTCCGCAGGAAGGAGACACCAAAAAGACTCTCTGCGACCCGCTTCTGACGTGAGCTGGTTCGGCTACACCCCGTGAGTGGAGTTCCTTCAAGTCAGGCTAAAATCCTCACCGTTGTAACCAACAGCGTCTGAAATGAAAGTCATTCCAAAGAGCATAATCCCCAAACCACTGATCAAGTTCTTCCTTGTTCACTGTAGTACGTCCTGAGCAGCAGGCACAGGTGCGCCCCCTGCAGGCCCCGGGGCAGAGAGGACTCTGGCGGGAGCCCCCCCAGGAGCAGGCCCCAGCTGCCCAGGGGAGGCGGACACGTCAGGGAACAGGTGCACCTTACGGTTTTTACGAAACTACTTCCCAACAGACCTGTACGTATTACTGGTTTCTGTGACACTTTCAGGAGAAAGGAATTCTGTGACATTTCACACAGAACTTTCGGGGACCACAGAGTTATGGGGAGGGGTCTCCGCTCACAGGCATACCAGGCACTGTCTAGAGACCAAACAAATAAGACTACCTTTGCATCTATGTCTGGCCAAGTGCTGGAGGCTGCTGCAAGTCAGCCACCACCATCGCTTAGCGGTCGGGCAAGTCCGCCGCACTGTAAGGCTGGCACCTGACCTCGGCTGCCTGCTGTCAAGGAGCACGTGCTTCCCCAGAGCCTGCTGCACTTCCGCTCCACGAGGCGGGTGGAGGCTAGACCTGGAGATCCCAAGGTGTGGGCAGAGGTAAGGACACATGACCCAGGAGGTTCAGAGAGGCTGCCCTCCCCTCGGCCACCCAGCCAGGGAAGCGCAGAGTCAAGGTGGAATGCAGCCTTACCTGACCTGGGCCCGGGGTCTCCCGGAAGCCACGTGGCCCTGCCAAGGTCGGCACCGCTAAGGAACGCAGCCGTGGAACAGCCCACAGGCCCACGTGACTGCCCCGAGCTGCACCAGCGGGCGGGCTCTATTTTGCCACCGACCGTGCAACCTTGAGTTTTTTTTTTTTAGATTTTCTTTTTAAGTAATCTCTACACCCAACGTGGAGCTCAAAGTCACAACCCCGAGACTACAAGTCGCACGCTCTACAGACTGAGCCGGTCAGGTGCCCCGATTCAACCCTGGATTTAAGAGTGGCTGCTTCCAGAAGCCCAGAGAGAACACACCGTGCTCCCTCTTGAACGCCCCGCAGGCCTCCAAGAAGGAGGGAAACCGTGCCCTCCGTAAAGATGCTCACAAAGCAAAATGCCAACACGTGGGAAGAGAGTGGCACATCAGACTGCCTCCCCCCAAACATGGAGAACTGCTATCCCACCAAAATAACAACAGGGGAGCTATTTTCATTTTTTATAGTGGACGAATATGAAAAAATGTATCTTATACCCTGAAAAACAATCATAATTATGTTGTCAGCTCATTCTGATGAAGATGCTATAATTTGGATGCATTTTTAGGTCCAACTACTGTGCACTCCTCCTCAACAAAAGGATTCAGAGAGAAAATCACATGTTCAACACAAAGAAAATCACAGAAGTTTGGGGTTTGAGTGTTCAATTTCTATGAAGTATTTGCCAGTTTTGGCCAACTACTCTATACTATTAAGAAGGAAAATCTCAAAATAATTGCATAAGCAAGTCCCCATTTCTAAACTCTGATGTGCAAACACTCCAAGCCAGGAAGAGCCACATCCTGTCTGTGACCTCTGACTCCACCCGCTTACCACCACCCTGTCTGGGGACCTTGGATGAGCAAGCCTCTGACCCCACTCCTTGAAGAAGGTCATGAAGTAGAATGGGCTTGTAGGTCCTGGGAGGTTGGTTAGGCCCCTGGGACGCCGGGAAGGGTCACTGGGAGCTAACAGGTCCCACCTCTTACTCTGGCCACAGGCAACACACGGGTGAGCTAAAGCTGGCCTGCTCCCAAGGGGACTTCCCCACAAATCTCAGGCCCTTGAGTAAACAGTCTGTTCAGCCTTGAGCTGAAGTCACATGCTCCAGCCAGCTCACAGGCTGCTCCGGCCCCAGCACACAATCAAGGGCAAGCTGTCCCTTTTGCTGCTGTCCTCTGTAAGTCCATCTCCTCTGGGACACTCAAGGGGGGATGACCAGAGCAGGACAGCATTCAGGCATCCCAGGTCTCCTGGTCCTACAACAGAGTTTTTTATTTCATTTCATTTCATTTCATTTATATTATTATTATTGTTATTATTATTATCGCTATCACCATCATCATCGTAATACAGCTAAATAGTACAGAGCCCTGTAGAACAGAGACAGCCCCCTTATCTTCCCCTTGAGGATAACGGCATCACTGAGCAGTCTGCTGTGCATCACAGGAGACAGAGAGACAAAGAAACATCATGCACACCTAGCCTTTCCCTCCCCTCAGGGGCCCTAATGCCTTGGCCCCTCCACCCTCCGTCCACCCTGCCCTCCATCCCGGTCCCTCTCCCAGCACTGAGCTCAGGACGACAGCCACCCTACAACAGCCAAAGCCCATAGACCACACTGCTGCCCACTCCCATCCCTGTGGGCAAAGGCCGAGCAGGAAGTCAAGACTTCCACCCGGACCAGGCAA